TCAGCACTTACTTCAGCTTTTGAGGGACTAGAATCACTTGATCAGTCCTCCCCTCTTTGGGCTGGTGGTCTGGGGATGCAGCTCAGGAACAGACAGAGCACATTTGCCCTTCCTCCATTTTTGGTAATTGGGTGGGATATGATGAACGTTCATGTTTTTTGCAATAGCACCTGATTAAATTTTGAAGTAGATTTCCCCTTCTTTCCAACATCTTGAGCTTCTGGCTGGCTGTCTCCAGTCCACCCTCCCCACTCCCACCGCTGCCATTTTCTGTGCTTTTTCCTTAACTAACAACTCTTACATTGCTTCCTTAAGCAGGTCTGTAAAAAAAACTGGCAGAGCAGGAAGATAAGAGAGGGCTGCAGCAGATATTTGCTAAATTTCAGCAACTGACAACAGTCATATAAAGCTGAAGGCAAAACATAAGGTAAGAATGGGTATAGAGTCTGTGTTGAACTGTAAACACTCTGTTAGTGTGGGCATATTAAAAATTATTTGGTAATAATGCCCTTGAGCAGAAAATTTCTGTTAATTTCAGTGAAACATTGTGATTTAAATAAGGGAGCACAGACCTCCAGACTGACTCTGTTCATTCACTGCTGTCTAATACAGCATCAGAAAGATGACATACATCAGACTGGTGAGCAAGGTACAAAAGAATAACCTTATTACTAGTATGATTTAAAAAAAAAATTAATGATGGCTTTGTGTGAAGTGAAACTGTTCCTAGTGAAAAAAAAAACAAACCAACAAACAACAATGCCTTGCATTCCCCTAGTTCAGGGACTACAGGTGAGGGGTTTGGGGTTTTTTTTGGGGGGAGCAGGTGGTTTGGTTCCCCCACCCACTGTGGACAGTTATTTTCAGAACACTCTACTGACAATCCAAAGAACTGTGTTTCCTTACTTTTTGTAAATGCGGTCTCTTTACATAATTCTCTTAGAAATAAAGTTCTTGGAAGGGTAGATCTCAAGACTTCTAAAAGCCTTGGCTTAGCGTATCTGTTATACAAGTTTCTGCTGGCTTTGATCTTCAGGATACCTTTTTTTAATGGCTTTCCTAGAAGGAAAAGAAACTGGAAAGTATGAAAAATATAGATTTTCTTTGTTATCATTAACCTTTTCTTACTGGGGGTGACTGTTCATGGTGTTTGGTGAGGAGTTTTTTTTTGCTGAAACAACCAGCAGGGAAGTCAGAATATGTAGAAGATGGCTTGAATTCCGGTGAATGGTGTTTTAGGCATCAGGTGCTAAAAGCATGCTGTTGAAAATGTTGTTATACAGGTAAGTAAGTGCATAAATCTATTTTAATTACTTTCATTAAAAAAATGTTTAAAATCATAAATACTATAGGTCACAAACAACATAAGACAAAGCAAACAGTACAGTAACAGATACACACCCCCATTTATATTGTAAATCAAATATATGGGGTTATAGAGTAGAAATCCACTATTTTTAGGCAAGTTAATAAGGATTACCAAAGAGATGTTGCATTGCTATGGCTATTCTAGGCTAATAGGAAGAGTATCTGAATTGTTCAGCAATAACTTTTTCAGTACTTGCGTTATAACAGCAGATTTCTGAAATGTTACTGAGCCAAAGTCACTTTTAATTCCCTTGATGAGTGGCACGGTGAGTGAGAGCACTTATCCCCAAAGTTACCTGTTCTTTTATTCTCAAACTGATGTGTATTTCCCCAAAATATTAACTGAATGGCTTCCAAACAATCAAACTTCAGTCTTGCGAAACTGCTGGCATGCTATTCATTTCAAGCATATTGCTCAGTATTTGTGGTGTCCAGCGAACTGCCTGTGCCTATTGTTTTTGTTCCCAGATTAAATCTCTGAAGGCTTTGACAGTCTCAAGCTCTGTTGAAGTCATTGGGCTCTGAAAATGCTCACAACTTGATTACATTGTTGTTAAGTGTGTTAGAACTTCCAAAGACCTACTCACCAAATACTGCAAGTAACAGTAGGAAAAACTTCCATTTTGTACAAATGCTAGTGCGACATGGAGACCATTCCACCCTCCAGATGTGTATCTGTTTGAGCAAAGGGTTACTATAAACAAGTAACAAGGCTATTGAGGCCATTGCTCAATAACCACAGCCACTGTTTTGCAATATTTATTGAGCTCTGCAGCAGTTTTCCTGGGAGCAGAACTTGACTGGTTTTAGTAACAATATTTTCAGTTCTGTCTTATGGATTGTTTCACACTATTAGAGTTGAATGCTGTTATCATTGCCGAATTGCTAGCTATAGATCTTGCAGCAGTGCATTTGTCTGATGTAACCAATAGCAAAATGTTGCGTAATTTAAAGACCAGCTTCACCCACCATGGGCCTCTGGTATGTATTAATATATTCAGGGAATGTGTCTGGGCACCTTTCCTATTTAACCTGGTTGTTTGAACATTATGCATCCAGGAGCATTATTTTCAAAACTTATTCCTGAATATTTAGGTGTAAACTATTCTGAGAGAAACATATAGATAATGGCTACTTAATTAAACCAGTTTTAAAGAAATGACACATGGGGATTTTAAGATGGCCTTCATGTGACCTACCAAAACTCAGCCTACATAGTGCTTTGAGACACAAGTACAATAAGATGCTTTTTCTTGTACAGCTAAAATATAGGGGGGGGTGTTCCAGTATTCCAATAGGTTTGCATATTTTTAAAGAAAGAACTACTCTTCTGAAGCAGCAGGTAAGGAAAAGAATATGGGTAAAATATTTGAAGAGGAATGGGAGAGGACATTTAATATATTTAATCTTATTATACATTTTTCTACATTAAAGTCATCAGGCTGCAAATATATTCTGCTACAAAGCTTTGTGTAAGAAATATCTCTATAAGAAAATACATCTCATAAAACCATTTCCTGTAAATAAATTATCCCAAATATCTATGTTTTGCAAGAGCAGAAAGGGGGGTAGACCAATGACAAGAAGAGCTAAAACCTGTTGATAGCCGGTTTCCTCAACCATCCCTGCTCACACACTGGGTATCATTTTCTTGTATATGTAGTCACAATGAAAGCAATAGAGCTCCTCTGCCAAGTATGTGCTGCATCTTTGTAAATAACAAACACTTGCAAAATTGGTTCTTGTACTTTTTAAATATCTTGAAATTATGCTATTTCTGAGCCTTATTCCCATTTCAACTACGTTCGAAAAACTGAAATAAGCAGAGTTCCAGCGGTAGGATTGCAAGATAAAACTCTGACTGAGCCTATTAGAAAAGTATAGTTTTATTGGCCAAGAGTTGTTGCTCTAGGTCAATAAAAACTAACTCTAGTAGGGCAAGAGGTGTGTGAAATTCTCTTCTTGCTTAGACTGCAATGAAAGGGAAAGACAATGTAGATGAGAAGTCAGAGTCAGGTAGTGTAGCTAAGCTACAGCTTTAAAACAACCACTGGTGGAAAAAGGTGTCAGACACAGGTGACATGGTCTTCAAAGCTGAACTACATACTGGTCTACCCTCATGGTTCAGAGCTGATTAAATGGAAAAAACCCTTGTATTACAAAACATGAAAATGGGTAATTATAAATGGGCAATTACAATTTAACAGTAGGTCAATTATAGAACCAGACTTCTTTAAAGAAATATCAGTCTCTTTATCAATGTCTATACAAAGGAATACTTGCAAATAAGTAAAATGAAAGAAGTTTGAAAAGACCTGGGAGACAGGTCTAGGGATAGAGACTGTTCTTTTTTAAACAGTCCACAAACAATGTAGAGTTATCAGCTGTTTCCACAGTCCATGTACTTCCATCATTCCTGGCAGAACAGTCCAGATAGAGGACATCAGGCTGAATACATGCTGGAGGCTGGTATGCTGTGGCATCGCATGATGTTTGTAATAAGTCATTTGAGGTTGTACCATCTTCTTACATCCTTTTCTGCAGGAGAGGAGGTACTTACAAGAGCCAAGTCCTTTTTCTTTGCTGCCACTAAGAAACAAATCAGTCATACTTCTGCAGAGTGCCAGCAGTAGCCTCTTGCTACTAACAAAATGTAAAAATTCGAGTTTGTAGCAGTTTGCTCTAAACACCTCAACAACTGTCTACATCATCTAACAGCAACAGTGAAACAACTTCATAGCTCTTCATTTTAGGCACTTCAACACTGCTATTTCTTGTGGAAATATCTATAATGCAAGTAGGCTTAGGCAAGCAAAGTATAGTTAGGACTAATGAGCAACTGCCTTTATATAATTCTGGATTCAGCATGCACATATTTGCTTCATCTGTTCAACCCAATGTATACTAGCAGTAAACTGAGGCAAATACAAGCGATTAAGTGCTGTACCATGACATGGATCTACATAAAGCATTTTAATTTATCTGTGTATAGGAAACAAAACCCTGTTTAAATGCCTCCTCTTAGAGAAACTGCTGCTCTCTGGAAATTGTGAGATGGCAAGTTTTCACCTCTTTCACTAGGGCCTGCAACACATAGCACTCTTGTCCTGCAGGAGTGCTTTCTTTGCTGAAGTGTCAGCCCTGAATAACAAGGGCATGCAGACATTCACAGTAACTTTATTTCCATTTCTCACACTTGTGGTGTGGCCAATAATGTGTTGACAGATAAGTCTTCCTGGCATGCACTGCTTCCTATAGGATTACAATGTATACAATTTATTTAGCAGTTATTACCACACTGGAAACCCACTGTTGTAGCCCTAACACTAACCCCCTGAAACATCACAGGACAACACAGCAAGTTAAGTGACATTAATTTCCACTGTACTTGTTTGCATACTATCATTTCCCACAAACTGTAGAAGTTATTTACAGAAAAGCTGCACAGTAGGAGAAATCCAGCTGCGCTTGTGTTTACCACCAGCTCAAATAGAAATGCATTTGGTGTGACTTCTATCCTAACTGTTACTTGAGCCACTCTGCTTTCATTTGCAGTCCTCATTTCCTACAGTGCCATAATGCATTAAATACCTAAAGCCACAGTCACTTCATACTATCCTCACAATCCTCACTCAGATTTTCTGGCACACGTGAAGTCTTGATTTAGAAGAGGAGGTCGCATCTTTCCATACTTTGCAAGACAGCCCCTTGGCACAGTCACATCGTTGGAAAATCTCCAGTCCATGGGCCCCTTTCTTGCGCTGTTTGGTGCACACTTCCCCCTGATGCAACACAGGCTTGCAAATTTTGGTCCAGAAATGGCGAGCACAACAGTGTCCCTCAATACAGTCTGATGACCGTAGACAGGGATCGCCTTCATGTCCTAAAAAGAGAAACCAAACTATTTTACCTCATGGGAAAATATGAAAGTACAGATTCAGTGCAGACTGATGCAAATAAAGCTCAGAAAAAGGAGAGATGATGTTTCCATCTGTGGCTATTTGAAGGATGTAAACAGAAGGGAAAATATAAATTAGAAAAATATAAATATAAATTAGACCTGCTATAAGGCTTAATAAAGAGAAATTCATCTACAGGATTGTAAGCAGAATTACAAGTGCTTAATCACGACTGCTAAAAAAGGAGGATGTGTGCAATTTTGCACAACTGAAAAATTCATTGTTTGGTGACCTATGACTTTGTGTCAACAGAAAAAAAAGCAGATGCTATTTCAAACACAGGAACTGTTGGTTGATGTTACATCACTTTTTGAGTCATGCTGTGGATTCTCATGATAGACATCCTCTCCCTATGAAATTACGGCCTATTTCTGGTTTGCGTTTCTGTATCTGAACAGCAACAACATGATTCATAACACAAAGGAACAAACTAAACACAGGTTAGTGCAAATGTATCTTACCTTTTATGTGTGACAGCTTGGAGCGTGGCCTCCCTAGGTTTTGCCATCCCAAATCCTTGCCAGCATAATGACCATTCTTCTTGTTGCGTGGCCCTTCTAGAGCAGGGATGTGAGGGGTGAGGATGCTTTCAGTTACTGGTATGCAAATACCTGCAATGAAAACAGTCAGACAAAGATTTGAACAAGAGGAAAAGCGACAGAGACACATACATAGACCAGGACCATGGAAGTGCTGGGCCTTGGCCTTAGTGACAACTTAGATGTAATCACACCTCTGTCGCTGATCCCCAGCATCTAACTTCACCACAGCTCTGCTTCACTCACTGTCAGACAGTCTCGCTGTCACTCTGACTTTATGGTCTGAGCACTGGGAGAATTTTTCTCTCTCCAGTTTCCACAGAAGGGATGGGAATGTAAACAGTGTGGTTGTAACCATTCCCCAGGGAGAGCAGATCAATGATTCATTAAATCTTTTGCCTCCTTAAAAATATGGGTTCTGCAGAGTCTTCTGGTGAATCAAACCACATTGAATGTAGTGCTGTGACTTCAGTCAGCAGCAGCATTATTTTTTAGTTTCCCTACCCCAAAATAGGAAAAAGTTTGGTAGTACACAAGCCTTAAACATATAAATATTATTAAACAAATAAAATGGAGTAGAATGAAGTAGAAAATTAAATTTTCTAGTTTATAAAAAGCAGCTCAGTCACCCAGGAAAAAGTATTCTTTGCTGGGAACACTCAGAGAAATAGATCCTATCAAAGTGCTGATTTTACGGAAGAAAACAAAGAAACGCCTATTGTACCATTGTTGCAGCGGTTCCCAGGGCAGCACATGCCATCTCTGTGGCAACGCTTCTTCTTCCTCCTGCACATCATGCATGCAGAAGTTGCTTGATGAGGACTGTGACAGTATCGCCCAACTTCGCATTCCTTATCATTAGTACAAGGATAGGCCTGGTGGGTAAAAGAAAGCTTTACAGTGAAGCACTCCTTTGTACAAGGCATGTATGCAGCCCATTTAAAAGCAAAAGAAAACAACCAAAAAACACCACCAAAAAACAAACAACAAAACACCACCGAAACCCCAAACAAAGAAACCAGATGTTGGGGCCAGGAGACGCAGGTATAGGATGCTTCACTGCAGCCATATAGCAATCTTTAAGCTCATGCTGCTGGTGAGGGCAGATCTGGTTAAAGAATCAGGGAGATAGAGCTAGTTCCCTCATGGTTTCATCTTTTCTTGCCTCAAACATATGTTGGCACAAGAAAACTCATATTTTTGTGGGTTCAGGCCTCTCATTCATAGAAAAGAGCTTAAAACTCCACAGTGAATAATAAGCAGAGTAAGAAAACTCCTCCCAATCAGTAAAAACCCTGAAACACCCCTCCAGTATGGAACAATTTAAACTCTGAGAAGGTATTTTCCTTTGACAGTTGTCAAGCACAGTGATGGATAATAGGTTCTCTGTTCTCATAGAATCATTGAATCATAGAATAGTTAGGGTTGGAAAGGACCTTAAGATCATCTAGTTCCAACCCCCCTGCCATGAGCAGGGACACCTCACACTAAACTATGTCTCCCAAGGCTCTGTCCTACCTGGCCTTGAACACCGCCAGGGTTGGAGCATTCCAAGTTCCTTGGGCAACCTATTCCAGTGTTTGAGCCTCTACACCAGATTGGTACAAGGTCCTTTGTAATTACACCACTCCCTGCTGACCCACACCTGTTGGACTCCTTGGAAGTGAATAAACATCACTGGTCACCATTTCATTTGGATAACCTTTACCTCACTTATGGGCTTAGTATACTCCTTAAACTTGTCACCTGGTAAACAACGCCCTATGATATGCAGCATGAAATAAATTATAACTGTCTTGCACATATAATTCCCTGCAAGCAGAGGCACACGTACAATTCTCTTCTATTCATCAAAACCAGCATTATCTTACAGGAAAACTGACTCAAAAAAAGGGTGTGAAAGCATTGTATTCTCTCATAAAGAGAGAGAAAGAAAAGCTTATTCCCACAAAAGGAAAAGACATGATGCTTTAAGGAGACAAAACAACACACACTGCCACATTCCAGGATAGTTTCCATTGACTCACACACAGCTATAACTATGTTCTCTGTCTGCATCTAATTTTGATGCCTATTAAATTAATCATAGATTTTTTTCATTTCTCAAAATTATACTTGAGGAATTTGTTTAGATAAAAAGATGAGGAGAATTTTGGGCACTTTCTGGAAAATCATGTTTACATTTTCTCAACTAATTTTCTCCATCATTTTAAATAAAGTGTTACTTGTACTGTTTTCAAAATTACTCTTGCAATTAATTATTCACCACAAATAAAAAGCTCAACGGAGTAATTTTCAATGTAGGCTGATTAGGTTTCTAATAATATTTTAAATTGAGGCTTGATTATATTGTTCTCAGAAAAGACCAAGTTGGAGGACATTGAGAATTTTCTCTGAAAAATGTTCTTTTAGATAGAGAACTTCTTCTTGTTTCTCTGTCTTTCTGCTATTCTGTTGAGATTCACAGAGGAAACAAGAGGTCTGGTACAAAAAAAACCCAAACCAAGCAAGTTTCTCTAGTCCATTAGTGGGTGGGGGAACCATGCCATTTCACATATGACTTCATTAGCTTTCTTTGTCAAAATTTACTTTAGAGTCCCAAAGCTTCTGGCTGGATATTTCCCAAGTGCTGCTGCCCCACTACTTCTGTCCTCTGAATATGTGTCTTTGAAGAATAAGTTCAGAGTGCAGCTGTCTGGAGTAACGTGACCTATGTGTAAGTCTTTCTCCCTTAAGAATAAACATTTCCTCTTGAGTTCATCCTCGGGAGCATGAGCATCAAAGGCGGCCAGATCTTTTAGCTAGGAGCAGCAAAAAGGGACAAATGCAAGCGCTTACCCATTTGGTACTCTTTAGGCTTAAATGGATTCTACCAACTCTAGCAAGGCAAAACAAAAGTACTCTCCCCTCTCAATCTCATCACTCCTTTCCCTCAGTTTTCCAGAAAGAAATCATTAACACAGACTTACAGTTTATAATATAGTTACCTTAAAAGTAAGGGTTCCCTGACTGGAATGAGACTTTATTAAACTAAGGATCTTACAATGAAGAAAAGCAATTTTATATAGACCAGTGCATGGTTATACTGAGTTTGGAAAATATTAACACTGCTAGCTGGGGGAAATTAAAATAAAAAACAGATGGACTAGCTAAAACCTGGAGATGAAGGCATTTTAGACCCTTGTCTGTCATCAAGACCTGCATAACCGCACTTTTTTTCCAACATGGGCATGTGGTATACACCTGCAACTCGTCAGCAAGAAGCCTACTTGCAGTTTTCTTCTGGTTCCTCAAATAGCTTTAAAAAAATAAGTAATAATTAAAAAAAAAAGAGTTGCCTGATCCTGAATAGTGATAACGAATGTTCTCACATACCATATCTAGAGACTGGTTTACTTTTGGCTTTTAGGCTGAGTGACATGGAAAAGCCATTTTATGACACGCATCTAATTGCCAACTCTCAGCTCTGTCTCAGAATGGTAAAAGTAACAAAAGACTATTTTGATGTTAAAAACTGCCAACGGAAGTGACGTAACTCAGCCTTCAGTGCCACTCTAGAGTCCCATCCTAAATAAAGACAACACTTTTGAAATTAAAAAATAAGCTAAAACATTGACCCACCTAAGGCAAATCACAGCAGTACATCTAAAATAATTTTGTGTTACATGTAGCTCAGAGAACAACTGGCAAATCTATTCAAAACCCCAAAAGACCAGCTGCCAGCCAGCTATATGAAAAATCCTCTTGCAAATGCCTGATACCATCATTTGCCTTGATCTTTCTTCCAAAACCACCATCCATTTGATATCCTAGCTATCAGTCACAGAGAGCTTGAAACAAAAATGCCTACATAACTTTGTCTCCTTGTCACTAGATATTTATTGGAATAACTCCTGCTCCCAGAAAAGTAATTATTTCTGTCACTGCGCTGCATTCAGTATTAGAACACAAAAATAAAAATAATATTGTGTGTACATAGATTTGGAAAACGGGGGGGGTAAAGGTGTTCATAATTGTCTCGTTGGCATTAGCTGAGACAATCTGGGCATAAATAAATATATGGGTTTTTTTAAATACAGGGTAAAGAAAACTTACATGTAAAAACATACATGCTAACAATTGTCTATGTGTGAGTCAAGGTTTTCAAAATTTCCTGTACCCGAATGCCTGAACTGTCTTACATTTAGAGAATTGCAGAGAACATTTCCTATATATAATGCAAAGACACAGATCAGTCCCAGATGGAGAGAGAAAAAGCAGACTGTAAACCAGCTCCATTTCCCCAACAATGATAACTAATTCTACAAGGCACATCATCCTTTCACATTCTTCAGCTATACATATAATTTTCTGGTTGTAAATCTCTATCCACTAAACACAGCTTTGATATCATGGGAAACCAGATGAAACTGAGATAAAATATGTAGCACTCCCTGAAGATGCATTTGAACAATCTTATTTAATTTTTCTTTGCCCAAATTACAGGCGATCAAGTCACCCATAGCATGACATAAACTAGATTCGCATGTGATAATGAGTCATATTTGCAGAATGTGTTGTCTGATCAAGAGCATTGTTTGCTGAGCTGTTCTTTCCTCAGTCATTCCAATTATTTCTGTATCCTTGTATAAAAGGGGCTGTTGAATGTGAGTCCAAAAATGTACAGCAAAGATTTATTGGGTTTTTTTCTGCAGTGTTGAAGGGTTCAGGCTAGATATTTAAATGGGTGCTGCTTATTCTGTGCCAAGATGTCTCCTGCATCAGTCCACCAACCTTTGCCAGCCAGGTCATAGCAAAACATAAATGTTAAACTTTTCTTTTTGAGAGGGAGAATATTAAATTTACATTCTCATCCTTCCAGAATTTCTGTTCAAAAACTGTTCTGCCGGAAGTGGATGATAGGAACACTAGAGAAAAAAAACGTGTGTGACAGAGGAGAAAAGTTAGGGATTTTTATAGTTGAAGAAGTCCTTCCAAGTTACTGAGGATCCTCCTTTTGTATTAACTTCACAGTGAGGCTGAGGAAGGGACTATCTAACTTTTGTGACTACATGGCTAGCACCATTCCCTTGATTTCAGGAGCGAGGTTTGTTTCTACTTTTGTCTTCCCCTTTTGGCAGAGATCTAATTTAGCACCTTTTCTTGGTGCAGTGAGGTTTTCTTTATATTTTTGCTGGAGTCATTTGCTATCCCGCATATTTTATATGCTCATCCTGAACCACAGAGTTTCATTGCAAGCTGAAGCAATACTAAGTGGTGGGACTGTTGCGCTATGGAGTCAGTCAGTCCGAGTCTCTCTGTCTGGTGCTATATAACGTAATGGAGAAGCACTGTGGGGGGACAGTAAGACAGACACTGTAATGTGCTGAAGCGTGAGTGAGTAGACTGATGGCAGACACACTTTATTGAGCTTTGGGAGATAATGGCTTATGGCCTCCAGCAAATATTTGAAGACAATATTCCCGGCTAGTGTCTCAGTGACCAGGCTCTCATTTGCTCATATTATGATGTGTCATTTGTCTTTATGCTGAAGCTACTCCAAGCTGTACTAGCTAACTATGTCAGAGAAAGGCAGGAAAAGCCACTGGCATTTTTACCTAGGCTATCATCACTTATCCAGCACAAGCAGTCCTAGACACTGCTGGCTTCAGACCCACCTTCAATGCTGAAAGGAACTGTGTCTAAACAAGTGATTTGGTGGACAGATATCGGTAGTAACTACCCCCGAAGTAGGTTACTTTTTTTTTTTTAAACACATCATAAAGTCCGAATGCGGAGTTGGTCCTGGTAGAAGATCATGGTGACTCACGGAAGAAACAGCATGGAGGTTATTCATTACCCTTCCACTGTGTATTGTGAGCTGGACTCCAGAAGA